TTCATCTGATTGGACATTCGATTGGCGCCTGGATGATATTGCAGCTGCTCAAGGAACCAGAGATACGGGATCGCATAAAAAAGTGTTACATGCTATTCCCTACAATAGAACGCATGATGGAATCCCCCAATGGCTGGTTATTCACCAAAGTGGCTATGCCCCTATATTCGGTCTTTGGTTACGTTTTCTTCAACGCATTCAATTGGCTGCCCGCTTGGATACGCATCTTTTTGATCCAAATCTACTTTTGGATCTTTGCTATACCCAATCATTTCCTTGGAACTGCATTGAAATACACCAAGCCGTCAGTGGCAGAGAAAGTGGTATTCCTGGCCGACGACGAAATGGCTCGGGTCAGTGTCCTGCAACGGGATATCATCGAAGAGAATTTGCATCTACTAAAGTTCTATTATGGAACCACCGACGGCTGGGTGCCGCTCGACTATTACGTTCAACTCAAATCAGCCCTTCCTCAATTGGACGCACAGCTGGACAATAAGAATATCGCCCATGCATTCGTTCTACGACATTCCAAACCCATGGCATCCATTGTCAGCAATATGATCAAACAGAATGTGCAATAGAGCTCACTTCTCGGTGGGATCACCCAGCCAGTTGTTGCCTAATCTTAATATTATATGCGAATATCGATAGTCTAGCTTTCTTTTGTGTAGTGGTAATAGGTACAGCATGATATATAAAGCAATATCCATGACACAATAAAGACAAGGTTTTATACGAGTATAGGAGAGATCCTGTTTAGTTGTAACACAATCTTTATTTTGCTTCCTAGTTACACTCAAGTATTATGATTAAGATAAGAGGTTTGATGATTTACTCAATGTCGAGGTGAAATTGCATGTGTATTTTACAATCAATTTTTGTCCGGTGATCCGGAATGCGATCGGGAGCGGCTGCGCGATGGCGATCGAGAACCACTACCTTCACGAGAACGAGAGCGCGACTTTGACTTCGAATGGGAGTGAGAGCGAGAGCCCGAGCGTGAGCGAGAACGTGATTTCGATTGAGACTTGGATTTTGATCGACTGCCCGAGCGGGAACGTGAACGGTTTGCGGACTTTGAGCGTGAACGAGAGCCAGATTTTGAGTGTGAGCGCGAGCGTGATCTTGACCCCGACCCTGAACGAGAGCGTGAACGTGATCGGGAGCGTGACCGTGATTTATCCGATTCGTCGCCAGATTCAATGCGATTCTTGGCCCGCTTACGCTTTGCGACACCATCACTCTCGCTGCCACTGTGACTCCTGCTGCGTTTCCGTCCGCGATCGCTGCCACTAGCGCTGCCGGAGCGGCTGCCGGACCGACTGCGACTGCGAGAGCCGCTCTTGCGGCTTCTACTGCGGCTGTGATCGCTACCGCTGCCACTGCCGCTGCCCGAGCGGCTGCCCGACTTGCTACGGTTGCGGTTTCTGCTCCTGCTGCGGCTACGGCTGCGCTTGCCGCCATCGCTCTCGGACTCGCTGGTCGATATTGTCTCCTTGGACACAATCTTGAGACGCTGTTTGGCGGACAGTTTCTCCTTGGCATCCTTGGCGTTCTTCTGCTGCAGCTTCTTCTTCTTCGGTTTCTTCTCGCCACGGCCACCGCCTCCACCAGCAGACTCCTCTTCGCTCTCACTCTCGTACTTCTCAGTTTTCCGTTTGCGTCCGCTGCCCTTCTTACGTTCAACCTTGCCCTTCTTCTTGTTCGGCCGTTCAGCGCCATCGCGTTGCAAATCTCCGCTATCCGTGCCCGAGATGTAATCATCCTTGCGCGGTCGGCCGCTGCCCTTCTTGCGCTCCTTTTCGGTAGGTGCGTCGGCAATGATGAGCAAATTCTTTGTCTTTTCCACGTACTCCTGTCGTTTGGCCAGCAGCTGTTCACGTGACATCTTGGCCTCCTCTTCGCGTCGCTTGCGCTGCTCCAGCATTTTTTGCTTGAAGGCTTCCCGCTCTTCTTCTTGGCGACGACGCAGTGTGCGATCCTCTTCATCAATGCGACGCGCACGTCCCACGTGGTATTGCGCCTGAGACAGCAGATCCTGACATGTGTTGGCCTCCACGCCTGCAACCTCGATGTTGAAGCGTGTCTTGTCGCCATGCACGGACAAGTATTGGAAGTATCTAAGTGGGAATAGATATTATAATTATAAAGCACACTTGAATTTATAATTATTTACTTGTGCGCCAGCTCCAGTTCATGCACCGCTTGGAGCACCACCTCCAGCGTAGACTTCTCATCCTTGAGTATGGCCATGGCTAGTCGGGATAGCACTACAGCTATGTTGAACAGCAGCACAGTGTCCTGGGGAGCCACACGACGAGCCTTCAGCAATACAGCCTTGGCCTCCACCAGCTTATTGGCACGCAGATAGGCGCGTGCGAGGTACTGCATCACCTCGACATTGTTGTGCTTGAAGAACTTCTTCATACAATTCTCGTACATCTGGATGGCGCTAATATATTGCTTCTGCTCGACATAGATATGGGCAATGTTTAGCCACACATCACAGAAATCGGCGGTGGCTTCGCGCACCTGAGCAAAGATGTCGCGCGCTTCGATGACGCAGCCCTTGTGGGCGAGCACTGCGCCAATGCCATTGGTGGCCCAAATGTTGCGAGGATCCGTACGCAGTACCTATTCCAAAAGTTTCCACATTATAGTATGGCTAACTTGACTTTTCACAACCAACTTTACCTGCTTGAATATAGCGAGCGCCTTTTCCTGATGCTTGCGCTCCTTCTCCTTGTCGCGACTTGGCTGATGCAGTGTCTGCAGCGAGAAGTTTCCAAGGGCAATTAGAGAGTAAGCATCCGAAGCCGTTGCCGGATTCTTGAGTATGGTCTCGAAATTCTTTTGACCCAATGCGAATTGCATTTTCGCCAAATGCAAATTGCCGAGGAGCGACCGCGCATCTGGATTGTCATTGTTGATATTGAGTGCATCTTTGAAGAAATCCGATGCGACGAAGATCAGGCCCTTATCACGCGCCATGCAGCCCAGCCGCAGATAGCAATCAATGTAGTTAGGATGCTCCTTGAGTATCTCCTTGTACAGCTTGTCGGCCACATCGAAACAACTCATGGCCTCGTTCAAGCGGGCCAGATTATACTTCATGGTCACCTGTATGGACTCGTAGTACTTGACGTCCTTCTCCATCTCGGAGCTGGCATGCTTTAGCGCCGACTCGAGCGTGTCCTTGGCCAATTTCAGATTGCCCAGACGATAGTGCAGTGAGGCGACATTATTCTGTATCTCTGCCGGGATCTCATACTTGGCCTTGTCACGCAAAATGCTCGAGGCAGTGCCGTAGGCATTAAGCGAGGCCTGCAAATCATTTTGCTCCAATATCTGCGCCAGCTCTATCCAGGCTTCAATGTCCTCCGGAAACTGTTCGGTCACCTTTTTCAGGTGTGTCTTGGCCATGTCACGCTTGGTCTGCGAATTGGAGTGAGCATACAACGAGCCGAGAATTTTCATAGTCTCGTAGTTACCCGGCTGAATCTTCAGCACTTTCTCAAAACATTGCGCTGCCTGTAAATAGATTTATAAAAATTGCTATACGGATTTCGAAAGGATTACTTATGCTGGCATTTACGTTCTCTGTGTCCCCGCGATATATGTACATCTGACCGAGTCCGTAGTGTGGAAGCACAAAGTTAGCCGGCGCAATCTGCGTGGACTGATAGTAGTATTGGAAGGCCTGGTCATAGTCGCTTTGGGCATGAAAACTCCTGGCTAGCTGGTAACAGCTCTCGGCACGCATTGCTTCATTTTCGGTATTGTGGAAGGCGTGCAGAGCCAAATGATGAACCTTTTGGTAGTCCTTCTTGAAAAAGAAATGGTTGGCCAAATGATTCAACACCATCGGATTGGCATTGTCGATAGTGTACGCCTTGGAGAGCATTTGCACGCCCAGCTTATTGGACTCCGGCTCCAGTTGATTGAGCTTCAGCACAGCCAGGCCAATTAGAGCACCCACGCATTGCTGATCCAGTTGCAGGGCTCGCTCAAAGGCCAACTTGGCCTTTTCAGCATTGCCCATTTTCAGGAAGCAGTGCGCCATGCCGATCCGCACGTTGGCCGGACAGTTGGGATTCGTGCGCAGTGCCTTCTTGTAGAACGCCATAGCACCGCGATAGTCCTTACGATTGAATGCAATGCACGCCTTGCCCAGCAGCGATGGTATATTTGATGGCGATTGATTGAGCACGAAGTTGAATTGCGCATCTGCCTGATCCATTTTGTCGCCCTCGAGCAGACAGAAATAGGCACGTCCCAGCAAATGGCTCTGGTCGTACATAATGATTTTGTCCGCATTCGTGTACAAGTTAGTGGCTTTCATGAAAAGCTCGCGCTTCTTATCCTTGGACTTCTCTCTATACGCCTCCTGTACATAATGGGCGGCCAGCATGTCATAGGCGCGCATCTGGTCCGTTTTATAGTCACGGTAGTCCGTGGTGCCCTTATCACGAGCTGCTTCCAGCAGCATGATGAAGTCATCTGTCTTCTTCTGCTTGTAGTATGCCAACTGTGGAATAGGATATTTTCATGGTGATTCCCCTTTGGGAGCCCAGTTATATAAATTAATACTGCTTACCGCCACATTGACCCAGACGTGCAAAGGAGCACGCTCCTGCAGTAATATGCTAAACACTTCCGAGCATTCAGGGAGTTGATCCGGGTCCACTTCGATGACCTGCAAGCATTTTTTGTATGCAAACATTTTGACTTTTGTAGTACAGCGTTTCAAACTCACCTCATCCGTGTCCTGCAAAGGAATTTCGATGCACGCCGACATGATTGCAGTAAGTGTGGCTCGAGAGCCAAACAATTGATGACTTTATGGCGTTAAATTACACGAAAATCACAAGTTCACTTCCTTAACGCGGTACGCTTGCGAAAAAAAAAAAACATTGACGATTTTTCGATACTTCCAACAAAGCATCGAGAAACGTCCGATATTTGACATGCAGAAGTATCGAATCGTTTGAGTCGTATATCGAGTGTGCCGTCGATTGGTTTGAGCTGGCATTGTTTATGGACAAAATTATGTAGTAAAATTAACAAAATTTCATTAAAATTTAAATCGATAATGTATTAGGCTATCGGTAAAAATGCAGAGTGCCGTTCGGCGATTGAGCGTGTGCCAATTGGCTGTCGGTGTGCGCGCATCAACAACAAGAGCAGCAGCAACTAAAAATTTCCAGCTACAAAAAGTGTACAAACAAACTCAAACAGATGTTCTGTGCCAATTACGTAAGAGCTGTAGTCGTTCAGCACTATTGGCGCAAAAATCTATACCGGAGTTGATTGGCGTAAATCAGCTGTGCAGGCACACACACACGCACACACTCTCGCAGCGAGGCATAAGCAAAAGCAAAGCGTGTGCAGCGCTATATTCTAGGTACTCGGCCAGCACAATCATGAATTCGTATTGCAAAGAACTGGACCTGATGGACTACGATATCATCGGGTTCGATCTGGACGGCACACTGTTGCGCTACAATCTCCAGGAGATGACGCCGCTAATCTATAATGTGCTCAAGAAGTACCTGGTGGAAGTAAAAGGCTATTCGCCAGCGCTGTTGTCCAAGGACTTGGATATGGATTTCTTTCAGAAAGGACTGATGCTGGATGGAGTTAGGGGTAATGTGCTGAAGCTGAGCAATGAGGCCACCATTCTACGTGCCTCGCACGGCACACGTCTGCTGAGTGACGAGGAGATCGAGAATATCTACGGCGCCGAACGACGCTGGGATATGGCTACGGCCTTTTACAATAATCCGCTGTCCACATGGAATGGTCCAGCGTCGGAGCAAATGCGCACGCTCCTTGATTACTTTGACATGCCTAGCGCCCTGGTCTTTGCTCAAGCAGTTGATGTGGTGGACGATGAGAGCGGACCAGCTGGCAAGCCCAAGGAATACAAAGTTTGGGGGGATCTCCTGGAAGCCCTTATGCATAACTACAGCCGGGATAACTTCAGCAATGATTCCAGTCTCTACTTCAAGGCCATGCGCGCTGAACCCCATCGCTATGTCCTGCCGAGCAGTGCCAAGCTGCTCGCCTGGCTGGAGCAGCTGAGAAACGCGGACAAGAAGCTCTTCCTATTGACCGGCTCGAATATAGACTTTGCTGATTTAACAGCCACACAGGCGCTGGGTCCCGATTGGCGGAACTACTTTGATTTTATAGTCACCTATGCCAAGAAGCCGGGCTTTTTTACCCAGAAGCGAGCCTATTTGAATGTGGATGACGTGGCAAAGCGTGAGCTGCCCAACACCGAGCTGAGTCCGATGGAATACCTTCAGCCTGGCAAAATCTACGCTCAGGGCAATTGGCACCAGTTGCACCAATCGATGGCCAAACTCCTGCACAAAGACGCAAGTAAAGCAAGGGCTCTATATTTCGGAGACAATATCATACAGGATATCTATACGCCGGTCAAGCATAGCGGCTTCGATACAGTGGCCATTGCGGAGGAGCTGTTCCTGATGGAGGCCAAGGACTACCCCTTCAAGGCAGTGCTGCACTCGAAGTTCTGGGGCCCGTACTTCAACAACGGCTGTACACCCACTCTGTGGTCTGGCTTCATAGCCAACTACGCTCAGATTTGCATCTCTTCGATGGATCAGATGGCGCAGACGGCACCAACTGAACGTCTGGTGTGTAACAATGTCAACGGCTTCTATCCGATGGTCCCCAAATCGCTCGAGTGCAGCAATCTGACGACCTCCTGGTACGGTGGTTGCGTCTGATAAGACAAGGCAAGACTCAAATAAGAATTATCTCTGAACCGGGCATTTACCAAGTGCATCCAAATTGAACTACTCGACGAAAGTCAAATAGGCATACAAATTATACTCGAAAGCAAAATAAACATTCATTCGACGATCGAAATAATTAAGCACATAACATACTATATATTCCATAACTCAAGCAGGCCTTTAGAATAGCTAAGATTATTTGTATTTTATAGGGTATCCTATCTGTATATGTTCGTTGTTACCAATCGTAATTATAAGCAAGATTGACGAATGTACAAACAGCCTTAGCACGAGGAAAACTCATTAAACGGTTGTTATTCAAGCGCATACAATAAGTATGTAAATCTATAGATATATACATGCATAAAGCATATTTTATCTACACATTTCAAGTTGAAATATTTATAGATATAGACATTATTGAATAGAAGAACTATATTACTAACATGTCCATAGCTAGCAATAAAATATATATACACACATATATGTGAATCATTTAACGATCTCAATACATTTATTTGTGACCAACCATAATACCGCAAAGAAGAAAATATAATATAACGAATACTCAATGGGAAACAATTATACAGCGAAGGCAGCAGTGGAATAAGCAATTAGGTAAAGAACGTTGACTATGGACTTTACAAATTAGATGATGCGCTCTACGGCCAGTGCAATGCCCATGCCGCCGCCAATGCACAGTGAGGCGATGCCACGTCGTCCGCCTGTCCGCTCCAGGGCATACAACAAGGTCACTAGAACGCGAGCGCCGGACGCACCAATTGGATGGCCCAGGGCAATGGCGCCGCCATGCACATTCACTTTTTTCTCATCCAACTTGAGGCACTTCACCACGGCTAGAGCTTGCGCAGCAAAGGCCTCGTTAAGCTCATATAGATCCACGTCATCACGAGTCCAGCCAATTTTAGTTAGCTACAAATGCAGAGATTAGCATAGGATGATAGACAATATGAATGCTTCGTTTACCAATGATTCCACGGCAGTCACTGGACCCAGGCCCATGACATTGGGTTCAATACCGCTCTGTGTCCAGCCAATAATTTTGGCAAGAGGTTTCAGACCGCGTTTGTTAACTTCTTCACCGGACATGAGCAGCACCGCTGCAGCTGAATCGTTGACACCCGATGCATTGCCAGCTGTGACGGTGCCGCCCTCTTTGAAGGCAGGTCGCAGCCGTTGCAAGCCCTCCAAAGTGCTGCCCGCTTTGATGTATTCATCTTTGCTGAATATTTGTGTGCCCTTGCGATCCTTGATCTCGACTGGCACAATCTCAGCATCAAAGTAGCCCAGCTTCTGGGCTTGCTCGGCGAGTTGCTGCGATTGCAAGGCTTGAGCATCCTGAGCTTCGCGGCTGATTTGGTACTTCTCTGCCAAGTTTTCGGCAGTGATGCCCATATGTATTTGATTCATGGCATCGGTGAGGCCATCGTGAACCATGGTGTCCAGCAACGTTGCAGGACCCATTTTAATGCCCTGACGGAGATGCACTACATGTGGAGCACTGGACATGCTCTCCTGGCCGCCGGCAATAACAATCTTAGCGTCACCTGAACGTATCGCCTGATAACCCAGCACCACAGTTCTAGGAAAGCAAATAATATAGTGAATATATTCAAAGCCTGAATCAGCATACCCACTTTAAACCCGATCCGCACAGTATATTGATACCATAAGCGGGAACCTCAATAGGCAAACCGGCATTCAGAGCGGCTTGGCGAGCGGGATTCTGGCCTTGGCCTGCGGTCAATGCCTGTAAAGAAGCAGAAGAATTTACATAACAATTTGAATCTTATTTGTATGCGAACGGAACAAATTGTATTGCAAATTAGCAACAATGAGAGCTACTTGTGAAATACCTGGCCCATAATAACTTCGTTCACTTGCGGCGCCTCGACATGAGCACGCTTCAACACCTCCTTGATGACCACGCTGCCCAAATCTGAGGCCTTCAATTTAGAAAGTGTTCCATTGAAGCTGCCTAAAAAAATGCAAATAAGAGAAAGTTTCCCTAATTAAACATTACATCAAACTTGTATGAAACTGCGCATTTTACCAATAGGCGTACGCGCTGCGGACACGATATATACGTCAGACATCGTTAGCTAAACAGTTTATAAGTGTTTACACTATAAATGATAAATAAGCAACAAATATAGTGCCGGGCAGCAAACGAACGATGTTTACGTTATAGGCGCGCTGAACCAAATGTGTTTCGCCTTGGATGGCAGTCTGTTCACAATGGTATTCGCCGAAGAATCGCACTTTGAACCTATCGATACCCGATAATTACTTGTTATTTGTTTGAAATTTATAAATAACTTTGTTATTATTGACACTAACCAGTGGTGTTATTGAGCTCCTATGTCTATTGATAATATAACTTATTAGATAATTCAAATTACATTTTATAGTATAATACTTTAAGTAAGATTGGGAAGTGTAAGAATAGAGAAGACGTATTGTATATAATTGATAATTTTTCTTTTTCTTTTAGTGTGATAAGTTGTGTATTCTTACCTATTAATGGAGTGCCACTTTTTTTTAAAGATAATAAAAACTATCGGTGCTGCCAGCTAAGATAAATGACATCGATAACAGTAATAGTTTCATTTGTTGTGTCTAAAATATCGATGGGTTATTATATCGATACGGTATCTCAGTACACAGAAAATTATTTTATGCTGAAAAAACGCACAAAACGCGCATTGTAAACGCATTAAGAACAAACGCGCCCAGACCGCGACTCCTGGACAGGTTGGCAGCTATATAGCTTGTGCAGATTGCAGCCCAAGTCGTAGTTTTAAGGAGCCGACACAAAGTTACAGCGTCGACAGCAGCCAACAGCAACAGCCCCAGCCCTCGCCCAACACTAACAACTACAGCAGCAGCAACAACAACAACCACCACCCTAACCAAGAGAACAACAACAACTAGAGTCGCACAATCACACAAAGCACCAGCAGCAGCAGCAGCAAACGCAACAAATAATATGCAGGCGATTAAGTGTGTCGTCGTGGGTGATGGTGCTGTGGGTAAGACATGCCTGCTCATCAGCTATACGACAAATGCGTTTCCCGGCGAGTATATTCCCACCGTCTTTGACAACTATTCCGCCAATGTTATGGTTGACGCGAAGCCCATCAATTTGGGCTTGTGGGATACGGCCGGCCAGGAGGATTATGATCGCTTGCGGCCATTGTCGTATCCACAGACCGATGTCTTCCTCATTTGCTTCTCGCTGGTAAATCCAGCCTCGTTCGAGAACGTGCGAGCCAAATGGTATCCCGAGGTGCGTCATCATTGCCCCAGCACACCAATCATATTGGTGGGCACCAAGCTGGATTTGCGCGACGATAAGAATACAATTGAGAAGCTGCGTGACAAGAAGCTAGCGCCCATCACATACCCACAGGGTTTGGCCATGGCCAAGGAAATCGGAGCTGTTAAATATTTGGAATGTTCGGCACTGACGCAAAAGGGCCTGAAGACCGTCTTCGATGAGGCTATTAGATCGGTGCTCTGTCCCGTTCTGCAGCCCAAATCCAAGCGCAAATGCGCTCTGCTTTAATTTTAAGACGCACACACACACCAATACACACACACACACATACACATAGAACACCCACGAAGCATTGTATTTGTATTTGTCGTCAAGTCTATTTAATAACGTAATATTATTAACTAATAACAATTGTGTAAAATAAGCAGCAGGAGCAGCAGTAGCAGCCAGCACGTTGATTATAGGAGAATATGAAGGAGGGGAATGAGTCCAGTGATTGGAACTGGGATCTACGTCAACCTGCCTCTATTTTCTGCTTTGTTAAAAACCTTGCCCACACACACACATGCAAAATTTGGGGATAACCGAATTTTCTTACTAATTTTTGTTACTCTTCGTCCTTTTGTTTAAAGTTTAAACTCTTCGTCATGTTTCGTTTAAGTGTGTTTGTTCCATGTTTTTGCTTTTTCTATTCAATTTGAACTAATTTCAAATATGTGCATTAATTTGAACTAAAAGTTAATTAAAAATTAATGTTGTAAAACCAAAAAAAAAAAAAAAAAAAAATGTAAAAGGAAAAATTTATTAAACAGAGAGCTGAGTGAATGTGAACACAGCATAAAGAGAATTCAAAGATAATGCAGCCAGTAAACGGTTCCGTTGCAATGACAGAAATATGCTTAGATGTTGTTTAATACCGTACGGAAACTAGGGAATGTCAGAGATTAGGCAGAATTGCAGCTACAAACAAATACATATACATATAAAAAGGTAATTGAAATAAAGAACATAATTAATGTATGATATGCATTTCCTAAGTGGAGCACGATTTCCAAGAGAACAATTTTTAAATTGCTAAAAAGTAAATAAATAAAAAAAGGAACTACATATATATAAGATAATGTCCTTCGTATACTATGTACATGTACTGATTTAAAATACACAAAACACAAAAAAAGAGAAAACAGGATAACTGAAACTTTGAATACTTTGTATTTTAAATATTCGAAAACGAAAGCAAATCTAATTACATACATATACATAAATGTGTCAATGGAAATCAAATAAAGCATACAGAAAAAAGAGATCTTGAGTAACCCTAATGCCAGATGTGACATATGCAAGTATATATGCATATAAATAATTATGTCTATATATGTATGTATGTCTGTATACAGACATTCATTTCGAGCGACCTCAACAGGTCTCTTTTGGTTTTCAATTTCAACGTCGACGACAAAGTCGCTTATCACAGCGAAAAAAGATTGAAACATGAATTGAAAATCAAAAAAGAAAAGAAATAATGAAATCAGCGTCCAGCTATTGTTTTTGTCGGAATGTTCTCGCAGCTGGAAATTAATCGGGCACAGCGGCGCAACAACAAAAGCGTTTTATGTTTATGTTATACGAGGCGGACGCGTTCTACATGTGTGTGCCATGGCTAGAGTGAGTGTGTATCTGCATGTGTGCGTATGCGAGAGTGTGTGTGTACGTATCTGTGCTCATGACGTGTCCATAAACAGAGAAATTATGAATGTGCGGCCCACGATGGACCAATCTCTTCCGCAGCAGCGCTGACGTGTGAGTTTCTGGGATGCATATCAATTAAGCTGGTAATCAAATCAATTTATGTATCAAATTCGGATTGTTATTTAAGTAAAGTCGAGTATAATGCACTTGTAAAGTTGTGTCTTAACTAGCTAACTATAAGTATTACAATTTATTTGGCATTCGAGTTGCGAGTTGTTCTTAGTGGCTATAGAGAGTGACTCAATCTTAGAATTCGTCATGGCGTGCCAGAGCCTCACCAAAGTCCGTAGCCTGGGAACCGACGAATATATCGTACTTGTCCAGCACTTCCTCCTTGGTCAGCTTCTGGTCGTGGTCCGAATCGGACTCAAAGATCAAATGTTTGGCCTCTGTTTCGGCAGTATCATAATCATTGGGCACAATCCATTGACGTATTTCCAGTTCAGTTAGATAACCATCGCCGTCCGTGTCACGATGTATGGAAAACGACTCACGCTCGCTGAGTACCCATTCAGGCTCGGGCTCATTGGGTCCCGACGGGCGGTACATATCACCAATGTATTCATCTATGGAGATTTTGCCGTCATTGTCCTTATCCAGATCCTCGGTGGTCTCTTTTAGCACTACATCACGCATGGCAGGATGCTCCTCGGGATGCAAAAATGCTGTAAACTCTTCGCGTGTCAGCTTATCGTCCAGATCCTGATCGGCAACAGCCCAACGACGACGGTCCCGTGAGAGCATTTTCTTATAGGAGATGCCTGCCAGATTTATATATGTACATTGTTTTAAAAGTATTTTTATAGAATAGAAGTGCTTACCATTCTCCTCTCTTTCCAACTCGTCCTTGTCCAGCGAGTCCATAAATCCATAGACAGTCTTGCGGTATACCTCCCAGTCAATGGTTGACTCATTGTTTGGGTTGTGTTGACGCCACACGCGATCCACGTCCTCGTCAATGTACCGACGCTGGGTGTATTGAATCCAGGCTTTAAGTTCAGCCAGATCGATGAAACCATCTTTATTTTCATCAATGCGGTCCACAATCAAGCCAAGGCGTCGCTTGCTCTCCTCCGGTGTGAGTTCATCGAACTTTTTGGCTTCATCTGCGCCCAGAAAGGCTTCGTGGTCGAACTGCGTATTGTGTTCGCCGCCTTCGAAGTGCTTGCCATGTAGCGAGTCGTGCTCGAGCGGGTCGTGCGGTAGTTCGTCGGCAGCCGGTATGCTGGACGCGGCGACCAAGCTTATCGCAGCGGCAGCAACAAGTAGAAATGTTCCAGTTCTCATTTTACCCATTAGAACGCCGTCTGTTCGCTTTGAGTATTCAAACAAAAGTAACTCAAGTTAGAATGAATTCGTCAAACGACGCCTAAGGTATCGATGTCAATTAGCGATAGTTTGCTTTGTCTATTCTATTCATCGACTACGTATCGATACTCTGCTAATGAAATCGTTTGAGTAACGTATTTTCGTCAACTATTTTATATTTATTTAGTAAATTCTTAAAATTAGCGCTGTGAATAATATAAATAAATATGAGCAGTTTTAATAAAGCACTATTTACAGATGGCCATGTGCGGAGAATAAATTTATTTGTTGATCTGAACTGGCGCAACAGGATCGTTGACATCCTGATTGAGCGAACTAAAGTCGCCAGTGTTGCAGGAAATGCTTGGAATCTCAAAATTGGAGAAGCCGCGGTAGTTGGCCACCTCCGGTTTCAGGGGGGATGGCAAGAGTACCTCTGAGACTGGCACATCGCTGTCTATCAAACTGTCAGCTGTGGTGTCCAATAAGGTTGTCTCAGCTGGATGGGTAGTGGGGGAATTCCGCTGCTGCGCCAGCGGATCAAATTCATCTAGATTTAGCTTGGTGTCTTCTGCAACGCTGTTCTCACCGCTTTGATCTGACAAATCGAAGTCATAGTTGATGTTTGTTAGACCGCCCTGGAACTCTGTGCCCAACATCAAAACGTCGTCATTTTCAGATGTCTCCTCCAGCAGCGAGACGGCATCAAAAGGTGTATAATTAAATATGGGCGAGGCAAAGAGCTGATCTGGTTGCGGTAAATTCGGATGTAGAGGCGACAGACGTCCCACAGAGCTCACGCTGGTATCCTTAAGCGCCAAGGTGTGCCCCACGTCCAATTGAGAATCTTCGAGTATCTGTTCCTTGCCTTTAACTGTCAACGTGTTTTGGCTGAGGCTGAGTAAATTGGACTGGTAGTGACCGGCAGCTGCCTCACCGCCATCCTGGGCCAAATGGGCACGTGCCTGGCTTATGAGAAACGGTGGCGTTTTAATGGGAAGCAGTGTGAGCGGTGCCTTTTCCATAACTATGTCCACTTTTTCCGTTATCTCGCGCTGGAACTCTATAAGCTCGCGTTCAAATTCTTTAATGCCTGTGCTTATGACGGAGTTTCGTTTCTGTAACTGCTCCATGCACTTCATATTCTCTGAGATTAGATGCAGACTCTCACAGGCCAGCAGCGCGCTCTCCCAGGGTGTGCTGTATGTCTGCTCGCCCGACATGTATGCATCAAATTCCTCTGCGCTGAGGCCCAGGCTCTCAGCATTTAGGTTCTCAATGAAGGCAATGGCCGAGCAGAGATTGGTGAAATAGTAGCCACCCTCGCCGCTCATGACTCGCGAGGCGTTGGTGAAGCGATTGACAAAGTTGAGGTTGCTGTGCAGGCGGACGGGATTCGCCTTCAGCACCACAAAAATTAGAGCCGGCAAGAAGTCATCGGCACTGGCGGGTCCTCCCGTTGCTCGTTTTAATAACTCAAAAATGTGACGACAGCAGCGGACCGTGCAGAGCAGCTTCTCCTGCGGCGAGTAGTAAGAGTCGATGCCCACCAGCTCTGATATGGCATTGTAGACCAAGTCACGCGCCTCAGCATTCACTTCGTCTATGCTGCAGTCCAGATGCTTCGTCGTTATCCAACTCAACTGCCGTATGCGTTTTTGCACTTTGATATCGCATTCCTCGTCTGTGGTAAAGTACGGACTAAATAGCAAACTGAAAGAGAAGATAAGCTATAAAGTTGTTGAAGTAGTGAAGATCCCCTTATTTATGACTCACTTGTGATTCTGTGTCATCACAACTTTCTCAAAGAAGTCAATTGCAATCTCTCGATCCTCGTTGGTAGCAATCTCAAAACGGGCATCGTTGTGGACAAGATCTGCGAATCTGGTGTAGGCGTTTTGCACGAGCTCCGAAAGCTCGTCCACATTCTTACTGCTATTGTTGTTCATGTATTTGCGTATCTCATGATCCAGCTGCTGAATCTCCGATTTCAGCTTCCGTTTGCCATCGTCCGGGATCCGTAGCTGCCGCAGCTGCAACATAAATTGGCTCTCGGTGGCACTTGGCACACGCGGCTGCGGTGCAGCAGTTGGGAATTTGCTTTTCAGTGTTTTTTGCAAGACAGCCGGAACAGTAAACTTCTTCCGGGGCATTGTGTTGGATGTGGTTGTTGGCTCGTCTCTCTCTGGTTGCTTCTTTGCTTTGTTTGCACGTCCCATTGTAAGCGAATGCTGCGGCGATTTGCGCTCTAGAGTTCCGCCAGCGGAACTGGTATTTACTTTCAAAGTTTCATGATCCTCGCCAGCTTTTTCTGAAGAAATAAATAGGGGAATAATGCGCATGACTAACTGCTACAGCATAGATAAACAAGAGTAAAGCTGGCTTACGCCTTTTTCGCTGCTTATCGTTGCGTTCGCGAAAACATTTCGAGCAGAGTCCATCGAACTGTGTGTTGCCGTAGTAGCCACAGCCCTGACGGCACTTTAGATCTTGCTGGCCGATTCGCAGCATGGGCGCACGGTTCGCCATTATTGGGCGTGGTTTTTTTTACACAATTTTGATTGCTATGAAGTATTTGCAGCAACTGTGCGACTCGATTTTAACTCAAATTTGTATTTATTGTCGGATCAGTCACTCGATTGCAGATAAACAGCTGTTAAACGGATTATCGCAGTAATTTATCGATGTTAATAAACAGCATTTTACGATATTTCGATTTAATACCAACATTGTGTGCCCCGATAAGTGTCTTGATTGAATGGCTTGGCGGTAATTTGAAGTGTTATATTTCTTCAACTGTCGTTTACCTAAAAATTTAATAAATAAATAACCATGATGAATAGAATTTTACTAAAATTATATTTTAGTATTATTTATTGAAATAAAAAACATTTATATTGCAACTGAGGGCACAATTTGTTTGGATACATTTAGTAAAATCGAAGTGCCTTAGGAAACAGCTCACAAAAGTCTTAAATTCTATGCATAAAACATGTATTTAAAATGAAATTTTGTGTTGTAAGCTTTAGAGTCAGGACGGTTACACATATAGAATGCAACTTCTGGTATGTATACAGTTAAATGGGTAGATTAAAAAAAGTTATACATGAAAAGTCAAAGTTGGTAATTAGCTAAAAATGTTCACAACAACGATTTGAAAAAGCTCAGAAAACACACATAACTATGTATGCAATTATGTAGACGACAATTCGACTACGACTAGACTACCAAATTTTCAAGTTGACCT